GGTAGAGATGAACACAGAGATACACACATAGACAACCCCTCAACAATATGTGTTTTTGCATTGCACAAACGCAAAAAACATGTAAAAAGCAAACCTCATCAATGGCTAATAAATTTCGTTTTCCGAGACGTTTCTGCGAAGGTTGTACAAGAACCACCAAGAACTGGACAAGTTTATCAACAACATGCTGCTGCTTAACATGCATGTTCCGCAGATGAGAAAGCTGCTGCCACACAGATTCATTTTCCCTGTAAAATCATACATTTTGAAAGTTTGCGACCCCTTTTTCTGCGACAATGCTTCACGGAGGCGCAGCTACGCCAGGTCCTTTGATTCCCCGAGCAATGCTCATCCCATAGGCACCGGCCGCTGTACATAACAGCAGTGGAAAACCAACTCGAAGGAACATACAAATAGGAAGGCACCAGGATCAGTGGCAGACTCACAGCTACGTAAAAGAACCGCGCTCACGACAACCTAACTTAGTCGACAGCGTATTTGTTGCTGGCGCGAAGATGCGTTTTCTGCACAGCTTCCATGTAGGCTATTGTTGCTAATGGCACTGTTTTTTTTTTTCTGGCAGATGCTCCTAGATAAGAGAAATGAGACTGTTAGAAATTATTACAATGACTCCTAATCCATGCCCAAGAATTCAACACTCTAGATGCTTCGGCTGCGAAGTCACGTCAAACTTCATGCATTCGTACGTGGGTGGCAACGTGAATGCTGTTTCCGCATGCGCTTGCTCAAACACAGGCCTAGTCCAAATTCTGAAAATCTCAGCAATCCGGCTGTTCTAGTAGCGGAGTTACGTCAAATTTCGCGTGTTCGTTCAGGAGTGGCAACGTGAATGCTGTCCCTGCGTGCGCTTGCTCAAACATGATCTTGGGCCACGCTCAAAAAATTTCAGCGCCCTGGATGTTTTGGTTGCGGAGTCACGTCAAATTTCACGCGCGCGTAAGCGAGGCGTACGAAGGATGCGAAAAGAACATGAAAGTCGTTTTTACGTTCACCTAGCCAAACGTGCCGCCGGTTATGCTCAGAAAATTTCAGTCCTCTAGCTGCTTCAACTCTGAAGTTACAGAATGCCTACGTGAAATTTTCACGTGCCCGTACGTGAGATGCAGAGGGGGAAACTCAATCCACATTCACGCGCGAATTAGTGGATAACAAATAATGCTGCAATATTACAGCTCTTTAACTTCTTCGTCAGCATGTCTGGAGTTGGCACGATGCCAATTTAAACTGACGGGTGCGCATGTGAGACTCAGGTGTGCGTGAAGGCTGAATTTGAAATCTTTGAACTGTATTTAGCCAAGCAATATTAAGTGAAGTTCCAGTCCTCTTGCTTAAGCCGTTCCGAAGGACGTTTTCCCGCCAAAAAATTTCCACATGGACGTAAGCGTCCGTTTTGAGGACTGGGCCCCGTATGTATGTGTAGATTAAATTGGCGAAGCAGCCTTATAGCTTTTATGGATCTCGAGATGAAAACTCGATACAGACGCACGCACAGACACGCACACACATACACACATAACACAGACAACCTGTCGACAATATGCGTCTTTGCATTACACAAATGCAAAAAACGCATTAAAAAACCCGGCGATCTGTACCGACGATACGCATATCACAGACAATGAAAAGATAACTGATGGAAGTAACAAAGTAAGATGTTGAGCGATATAAAGAGGCGTACTTCACAAGATGCGTCATCTTAGTTTCCATGGCTCGCTGCTTTTCTCGAAGCTGTCGAATTTCACCAAGAAGCACATTAAGCTCTCTTGTTGGTATATTCATTGAGGTGTTCTCATTGTTTCGCACACCCGGTGATTTCCTCTTGATATTGGCCAAAAGATGGGGATGCTGCTGGATGAAACTGGGATGCGAGAACTCCAAATGTTCCTGATCACTTTCCGACCGCGCCAGACTTGACTTATCAATTGGTGTCATCTTACGAAAGCCATCTACAAAAAACTCCGGATGGGGAAGTAAGAACTGGTGCAGTGAAAAGTTTAAAAATCGGTACAAACGCGCAGTGCACACAGAGACATACACATACACACACACAGACACGCACACACACACACACACAGACAACCTCTCGTCAATATGCGTTTTTCGCATTGCAT